AGCGCGAGAATCTTAATCTTATATCTAATCTTATAATTTCAATTTTCATACACACTTAACATACTAAGAGTACACGTAATCTCGTGCAGTCAGATCTGGTGCTGTCAGGATTGCAAAGGTTCCTGGGACTGAAAACACAGCTGATTTGCTCACTAAACCGAATGGTGGTGTACTCTTCAAAGAACATTGCAGGAGATGCATGTACCCATTCTAAAACACAGTAGGCTGGTATATTACACTGTTTAAGTGGCAAAATGCTACTACGGTTAGAACCAAAATGGTTCGCCCCATACCACACGCCCGGGCCTCTGATATGTATCCAAGGGTACATACAAAAACTATGCAAAATTACTTATACTTGATCCAAAGTGAAAAGACTGGCTTAAGTTGATCAATGGTACAAGTGAAAACCTCAAAATTGACCTGTATCGATTGGGATGTCAGGTCCAAGGGTACTAATTTTCGGGCATAGACCTTGAAGTTTGATGGACCAGGGGTTAGATGAGAGCAGGATTGAGAAAACATGTTCCCAGAACAAGCAATAAAATTAGATGTTTGATAAATTAATTTGTAATTCATAATCTAATGGTAGGACCGGAAAATTGAAGGGTATTGACCGCGCGAAATGCGCAATACCATGGATCCCGTTTGTGTGACGAACAAGCAAAGGAGAATAAGCATCCAAATCAGCAACCCAATGAGATGCCAGGGGCATACAACTACATAGATAAAAGATCTTGAGATATCGAAATAGATTAGATTAATTCATCCAACTAGTAGCAGTTCTAATGTAATAGCTTATATTGGTCCAATCATACTTTTTTGTCCAAATAGAATTGCTACAGGCTGAACTGACTGTCGGTTCCTTGATCTCTCAGTACCAGTTGCAGTACTACTACTTGGCGAAACAACTGAGTATTGGTGCTCATTACTGGCATTGCCAGATGATTCTTCCTTTTCCTCATCCTTGATGTTGAGGACATAGCTCATGTACTCAGAGTGATCTCTCAGCTCTTTTGGCTGGAGGCTTCCAGTTTTTCCTGTCTTTTGCTCTCTACTACTATTCGAGTAGTAATCCCCTTTTCCAAGACCAAACCATTCATAATTACTATTATAGTTGCTTTGACAGTACTTGCGGATGAATTCAGCATTTCAATAGAGTGTTCTGGTGTTGCGGCAGTTTTTGAATAACTCACAAAGAATGACTGTACTTCGTACTTCTCCATCTTATTTTGTTTTGAAAAGTCGTGCGAATGTAGAATACACCCTTATGAAAGAGTCCCTTGTAGTTTCGGTAAATAAAATTTCACGTAGTTTTCAGTCGCACTTTATGAGAAAGGAATGAAACTAGAACTAGATAACATCCATATGCTCCGCTTCGATGTCAATCAGTGGCACCCTTTCTTTCTCTTGATTGGTCATGGGTGTAAACTCGATTTCGTCACCGTTCCCAGGGATGTGGTCACTGATTCTCTTGCCATTTCCTACACGGGATCTGGCCTTCGGCCCTTGCTGCTTCCGCCGATCAAACATGCTCGACGACAGTCGTTTCTGTTTCCTAACGGAGACGAAAGCCAGGCAGCCAATCAGCAAGCAGAAAACCTCGAGTTCGAACTGCGGTTTTTGGGATACGACAGGAGCAGGCAACGTGAGGTTTGATTTTCATCAGTCACAGATTTTCATACGGAGAAAAAAATCGCGAGACAGAAGGAGTTTCATCGACTGCACAACCCCTCAACGAGAAGAACAGGTTACCTGTTGCGCAATGCACGAAATCGAACTGATCCAAAGCGAACCAAATGATCGCCTGTCTTAAGCTAGTAGCTCAAATCAGTGCAATTGAAGGCAACACAACGTACCATTGCAAATCCTTCGTCAAACTCGGTGTATTTGCAACTTTTCATCTCGTGTTTCGGCGCCGCTGGATCCGCCAACGGTGTTTCTTGTTCCGTTCGCCGAGTTTCCCCTTCTCCTTCCACAAGAATGCACTCAAATTTTTGCCACTTTCCGGTCGCCTTGCACGCGTCATACGTTTTCTGTTCGCTGAAGGTGCACTCTGTGCATTTGCCGTCGGGAACCGTACACCCATAGTCGGGGGAAGCGGAAATCTCTGGTCGTCCTAGCTCGTTATCTGCCCCCCCTTCCAATTGACGGTGTTCTCCATTGTGTGGATGTTCCCCTTCTACGGCGAAATGTTGTAGTTCTCGTGCTCTCCGTCGACGTTGCGGGTTGCTGTCCCATCGTTGGAGGCCAGCAGCATCGAAATAGGTCATCCCTGAGTCCGGTAGTAATTCGATGTCACCTCCACTTGATCCACTCGGCACTGCCTCTGCCACTGGAAGCGTTGGAAACGACACGAGTCCCACCGCCAGCAGCAAGAAGGCAGCGAAACACAAACACGAATCAAATCGTAAGGGCCCGGGAAGCAGCTTCGAACATGACCTCCGCCGAGACCACAATTTCGTCCTTGTTGATTTTTCGGACAACATTGTCATCGCAACACCGGAAGCAATAGTGGACTTGGTGCTTTCGGTGAGGCATAAAAGCGGACAACAATGCCCCATTTTCTTGCTATGTTCATCCACTCGTAGTCGCTTCATTTGTTTTGTTGTATTTTATTGTAGAGGATTTTTTTTTAAGAAGTGGTGTCTATTGACAGTTTCACCTTTCTAACGATTGTGTCGGTTTTTCCTAGATCAACTATCCGTTGGCACTGTTGGGAGAGGATTTCATTCCGGTACGACTTACGAATTGCGACTTGCTTCGAAGTACGAAGTACCAGGTACGAGTACCAGTAAGAGTACTGTACAGTATTCGTTACAGCAACCGTAGAAACTACCGGGGACGGTAGAAACACTTCTTATGGGTGTGCAGGTGCAAGCAAATTGCCAACACTCGGCAACACTGTCCATCGGAAAAGGTATCCCCTCACGATACAATACTTACTGATACGGTAGGACTATTACTAGTACTTGTACGTATTCGATTCTATCGAACAAAGCGATTTTTTCCGACATGCTTCGAAATGACTGAATTGCCTGATTCTTGATCGACCTACTGTAATGACCGCATCGTACAATAAGTGCTTACCGGTACCAACACTGTATTCAACTGATTTCAAACGCATCGCTTTTTTGGGAGAACTCAAAGTATCTTCAATGAAGCACAACGCAGAAAAAACCGAAAAAACACATCGGGAACAAGTTGATTGAACTACCGTTGATCTTCACACAGCGGTCTTCCCTGGCATTTCTTGTTCAGCCAGCAATCACCACCATGATGAGCGCATGGGAAGCCCAGCAGCGGGCCCAAAAGGAGCAAGAACGGAAGGCAAAAATGGAGGCCGCTGCCGCCCTGCAAAGTTATCGCCGATCTGGATTGTCGGAGGAAGAAATGAAGCTCGCGGCTTTGCGAGAGCAGGATCGCATGCAGAAACAGAGTGCCGCAGAACAACTCCGCGGCTACCGCGGCCAGCTCTCTGAAGAGGAAGCGCGACTGGCGGCCCAGAAGCAAGAGGAACTCCGCAGAAAGCAGGCGACGGAGGAACAGCTCCGGAACAACGGCGTCGTTTCGGCGCAAGACCCCACGGCCCGCAACGAATCCATTCTGCGGATGAAGGATTCGGGGACTGTGTCGGAACTAGCGGCTGGCTACACTTCCCCTCAGGCAACACACGTGCACGCATCGTCGCCAACAGCTTCTGCTAGTCTCGGCACAATGGGCCGCCCCGCGCAGCCTGATTTTTCGGTGGCAACAATAGGAAGAGAAGCGACCGATGACAGTGCCGGATACCCGATGACGCCCGCATCTCCAGTCCGATCCAAGGCAATGTTCATGTTTGGAATTCTTACGCGTAAGGATGTCGATACCGCCTCGTCGGAGGAGCGGTCCCGATTGGTTTCCCGGTACCTAGCGCGGGCGGACGAGATTGCCAGATCAGTCATAGATATATCACCCTCGTATCAATCGATACGGCAGTCATTGGAATATCCTATAGCCAGCACCGTAGTAAAAGACCGCTGTGAGTATTGAGTTGGAAATGTCGAAACGGGGCTGCAAGGAAGTGGTATTTGTGGAAGAAATCGAATAGAATAGAATCTATTTTTTCACAAAACCAGAGTGGGTGTATTTAGTTGCCTTGCATGGTTTTTTTGCATCTCACTATCTGTGCGTTCTTTCTTTGTCGCTCTCTTCTCTAACGCACACACACGCCAGCCCGCATAGATTCTCATCGAACCACGGTGACGGTCACCATTCCGTTCACGGCACCGGATCAAGCCACAGCCCGCAGCTTTCAATCGAGCATCATCCAGCGCGTGCGGGCCGCCATTGCCAATGGAAGCTTTACTCGACACTAAACAATGCCGTACATATATTCCATTCACCCTTGTTGCAAACAATCATTCGAAGCATTGGGCATTCAGTTTATGGCAGGCCGAATGATTCGGTGTTTTGGATACAAAAGCCGATTTGTTGTTTGAATTGGAGAATGAAGGGAGTAGTTGTGAAATATGAAAGCTAGCATTTTGACTGAAGAGTTCGTTGTTGACGATGGTGGTGCTGCTTCAATGTCCCAAACATACGCAGAGCGACACCATTTTTCGAACCACACATAAACACATAAAGATAGTACTCACCCAGATCCAAAAAAAAATCTTAATATTATTTTTAACCTCGTGAGCTAGAAGAGGCACTATATGGCCAGAACCACAGCTTTCGTTAGAAAGAATGCTCCCAGCTGCTCC